CTAGTCCAACTGCCTGACTACTTCAGGGCTGGCCAATGTATCTTATACTATAGACATATATATTTTCTTTTTTACATATATATTCTTTATATATTTAATATAGTAACATCACACTGGGACAGCCCAGGAGCTTGCCTCAGCCACTGTCCTGCCCCTGATCCACAGGAAACACTTTGGGAAGTGGTGTAGAAACAAAGAAGATCCACCTTGTATGACACTGTTCAGCGATTTGGGTTTCTCCTGAGCCCCACCACCAGCTCCCAGAGGCTCTGGGCATGTCTCACCAGCACCTAACCCTTTTTTAAACTCATTTATTCCTTTCATGCTCACAACAGCCCCTAGGAAAGGTTTTCCTGGTTCTACACACCTTGTGTGGAAAAGTCCTTCCTTTGATTCTAAGGCAGCTGCCCGGTGAGGCCAGTTCCCTGCTCCTGCCTCCGGATGGGATCGCCCGCTCTCACAACTGGATTCTCCATAACCCTCTGCTCACCTGCAGCACCCAGCTGAGCTAAAGCTATTTAGAAGAGGACAAATTGACCCATCTTGCCCCCTCAGCCCTCACAACCACAGGCCACTCGCTCAGGCTTTGCATAACACTGGTCCCAACTGCGTTCAAAGCCTGGGAGCTCTTGTGATGTGCTCTGGCCTCAGGCTCCCCGTGTCCTGAGCTAGTGCCCATGATGTATTCTTCAACTGCATCAAGCACAGTCGTTGTGCTTCATTTCTTTTTAAATAACTACGTGTAAGGTTTTTTAAAGGCAGTTGGACAGGGCTGGTCTGAGGCATCCAACAGGATCTATAGGTATCACTCGTTTTAACTGCCAGAAGAATGACTTTCAGGCATCAAACACTGAACAAGGTTGCAGAAGGTGGTCAGGGGTACAAAAAAGAAATGATAAAACAGGTACTAGAATGACATGTAATTGAAATACCTGTTAAAAACCTGATGCCCTCTCTGCCTGTCTTCCAACCCTGACGGTTTCGTTGGCATATTCAAAGTGAACATATTGCTGGATGTTGCTGAGCAGTGATTAATCTTATTTCCCTTATCACCAAATTCATATTAAACACAGGAATGGTGTTTGTCCCTCAATGTCCAACAATGCCACTGGAAAGACCATATTCTGACTGACTAAATACTGCCATTCCACAGGAGAGAGGGGAAAACACAGTGCTGACAACATGCTAAAGGTCTGAAAAAGAATAAAGATGGAAAGTTCTCAGAAATAACATCACAGCAACTGAGCACGTGAGTCCCTTGTCCACCCCTGTGTGAGGGGCTGGGGCTAAGCACAGCAGGCAGCACTGCTGCTTGGCAAGCTCTGCCTGGAGAAGGCCTTTGGACAAGGGCCTGGAGGGACAGGACAAGGGGAATGGCTTTAACCTGCCAGAGGGGAGATTGAGATGAGCTCTGAGGCAGAAGCTCTTCCCTGTGAGGGTGCTGAGGCGCTGGCACAGGGTGCCCAGAGAAGCTGTGGCTGCCCCATCCCTGGCAGTGTTCAAGGCCAGGTTGGACACAGGGGCTTGGAGCAACCTGCTCTAGTGGAAGGTGTCCCTGCCCGGGGCAGGGGTTGGAGCTGGAGGAGCTTTAAGGTCCCTTCAACACAAACCACTCTGTGACTCTACGTTGTGTTACTGCTGTTAAACTGCCTTTGCAGGAAGGTACACAAGGGGACGCACACGCCTGCAGGAATGGGATGAGGGAATTAAAAATTCTTTGTGGCTTCTTGAGAATTACAACCAGGAAAACAGGACTTACTCCAGCCACCTCCTCCAGTGCGTTATTCTTTACACTCAAAATCTAACAGATACTATAAATATGATACATATATAACATTAATATGGAAAAATTTAAGTTAAATGACCTCAACAAACCAATTCTTAGTCACTACCTGTCAACACTCTGATATTTTTTTAATACCTCAATGCATCAGAACCTCATTGCTGCCACCCTCAGTATTTAAAACACCCCAAATTTTCTCTACAAGCTTAGAGGGGCAACAGAGCTTGCTGGGGTGCATTACTGACATAACTATATAGAAACTATTTGCTCTTCCACACTATCACCTCTATACCAAGCTCTGAGAAACACTTTAGTTGTTCCTGAAGGAGTTGTGACAAGCAGCCAGCGGCACAAGCCTACCTGGCTTTGAGTAGCTGTCTTTAATAAGGAATAATGTGATTTTTGACAATTAAGCACTGCCAGACCAGAGCAGCTCTGCCTGGAATTCTTCTTGCTGAATGCTTTAAGGCTTCCTAAACTGTGCTAGGAGAGGAGGTGGAGGGTCCCTCTGCATGAACGGGCAGCAAAACATAAAGCCTTTGAATGGTGGGGAAAAAAGAGGCTGGAGAAGTCTTTAGAGGAGCCCGGAGGGGAAAACAAAACACAAACCTCCCTCACATGAAGCTCCTTTATCTCATCTTTCATCTTTATCTTATCCTTTATCTTATCTCTAAGTGATAACTGGCGCTGGCAGGCGAGGCCGCGCTGGGCTCTTACCAACGTGTGCCGCTTCATGTGCTCCCGGCGTGTGAACTTCTTCCCGCAGATCTCGCAGGGATAGGGCCTCTCCCCCGTGTGGGATCGCATGTGTCTCTTCAGGATGCACTGGTGCATGGCTGAGAAACTGCAGTAGGGGCACTTGAACTTCTTCCTGATGACCGTGAACTCGTTGACTGGAAGAGAGCAAAGCAAAAGATGCCGGTTAAAAATGGTCGGTCTCCTTGTTTTCTGCTTCGCTACTGAACTGGTTCCCTGTGAAATCACAGTCTCACCCCTCAACCATCTACAATGTTTTTAATCCTTATTATTGCACTTACGTTATGAAAGTGAAGAACTTTAAGTACCTTCATCAGAGAAGCTTCTGAACAAGTCAACACACAAACATTCAGCCACCGTCTGTAACGCACATTGCCCCGCGCTTGCTAAACGGGAAGTAACAATAGCAAATAACTCTGTGACTCTTATTATAATTAATTATGTTGAGTATTAAGATCTAAAACTCTAACACTCTCATTTGTGGAGGTAGCAGCTAGCTGTGAGCAGCAGACCACAAACCTAACACCCCTTAAAGCTCACCCAGCTCCAACCCCCTGCCACGGGCAGGGACACCTTCCACTAAGCAGGTTGCTCCAAGCCCCTGTGTCCAACCTGGCCTTGAACACTTCCATCCTGCTTGATGGACTTTATTCTGCCCCCTTCAATTGTACTTTGCTGAGCTAGAAAAGAGATGGATTCCTTGAAGCCTTTCTGACATGGCTGGGTCTTTTCTTCTTGCCATAGGAGCTGCTGAAAGTGGCCCCAAGGGATGTGGATGGTACAGACAGCCCAAGGGTCTCATTTGCCAGGGAAAATAACAATACTACTACTAAAAACCAACACAAGCACCTACTCACCTGGGCCATGGCTGCAACACTGACACCAGGGAAAGCACTAAGCAGTATCTTATGCTCCTGTCATTAAAGATCACTCACTGTGATCAGGCTGACTCTTGAAGGGCTGGTTTCAAGTGGCTCTGCGCTTGCATTGCTTTAAGAACCTCCCGGAGGAGGTTCCTCCTCCTCTTTTATATTATAGGAAAAGAATCTGTTGCTTTATCTTCTCCTCTGGATTTGACACCCCCTTGTCTGTAGAACCAGAGGCAAGGAGCCCACTTTCTTCAGCTCTACAATACAAAGCTATGAGAAACACATTTCCAGTCTGATCTTGTCATGGCTTGGTTATTAGTGACATGCCACACAAACACTTATAGCCCCCAGGATCACTATAAACTTCTTACTACAGAGCCTAGACAAGGTAAGGAAGCTGTAAGCTGGTTGAGGGGACTCACGGGGGGATGTGTAACCTCCCTCCTCCAGCTCCAGGCCATGCCAGTGCTACTCAACACCACAAACACAGTGTGGACCACAGCGAGTGGGACCACACGTCAGGTTTAACCACCTCATGCTGGAAAATCCTGACATGGAGATCTCAACAGCCACCAGATCCTGAGATTATGAAGGAAAAGTGCTTTAGAGAAGGGAATAAGAACTAAGGCAAGTGGGGAAACTCCAGCTTCCCAACTTGCAGGCACCAGCCCTGATGTGGCACAGAG